AGAAAGAAAGAAAGAAAGAAAGAAAGAAAGAAAGAAAGAAAGAAAAAGAAAGAAAGAAAAGAAAAGAGAAAAGAGAAAAGAAAAGAAAAGAAAAGAAAAGAAAAGAAAAGAAAAAAGAAAAGAAAAGAAAAAAGAAAAGAAAGAAAGACAGGCAAGCAGGCAACCCTAATTCCCCCGGGCTCCAGGCTCCTCCTAGTCTCTCAGAATGATGGCCTTTTCCTTATGGCCTAAGGGCTCCAGAATACTTGCTCTTTTGGTTTTTGTCTTGAGACAGGGTCTTGCTAAGTTGCCCACAGTGGCCTTAAATTCTGTGCCACCCACTCTAGGCTGCTCTCTGTGCGCGGTCCTTACCCTCAGCCTTGGCGGCATGAACCCGTTACCATTCTCCAGTAATGATCATATGCGTCACCTCGGACTTTTTGCTGCTATAAACAGTGCCACAAGAACATCTTTTTACTCACGTCTCCTTGCCCCTATAGGTTTCTTAGGAGAATGGTGGCCTAGGAGGCTTCCTCACCTATCACCATTGCCTCCTCTCTACTGTGCTCCACTGACTGACTCCAGTCGCGCCAGACTGGTATGCTTGCCCCCTGCATGCCTGTCCCCTCTGCCCAGCATGCTGCTCCCCATTACCACAATTTGCTCCCAAACCCCCTTAAAATCTTTATTCAAAGCTTCTAAATGAAAGCAGGGCGTGGTGGTGCACTCCTACAATCCCAGCACTCTGGGAGGCTGAGGCAGGAGGATCACAATTTAGGTCTTAGGGAGACCCTGTCTTAAAAAATTAAATAAATAAATAAGGAGCTGGAGCTGGAATGCAACCTAAACACTCTGGGTTCACTCTGCAGTACAGCCGAAACAAGGCTTCTAAATCAGGTATACTACAGTCACCCTACCTAAACTTGCAGTCCCCTCACCCTACCTAAACTTGCAGTCCCCTCCCCACCTCTCTACCACCATTTTTCAGAAATCTCACTCTAATTCTTTCATACCCTGTGTTACCTTCTACCGTCCTCTAGACCAGGGCCATCTAACCTAACTTTCTGCAGTGAGAAAAATGAATATCCAAATTGTCTGCTATGGCAGCTGGGAGCCATAGGTAGCTACCAGTCGCTCCACGTGTGGCTGCTGTGGCTGGCGAGGGACACTTTCCTTTTCATTAAACAGCCACACACAGCGGGGCATAGTGGCACACGCCTATAGTCCCAGCACCTGGGAGGCTCAGAAAGAAGGATCATTGTGAGCTCAAGGCCAGCCTGGGTTGCATGGCCAGGCCCTGTCCCCCAAAAAAATAACAGTGTGAGTAGCAGTTACTGTATTGTTTTTGGTCTTTTTCTTCTTTTGAGATAGGGTCTTGGCAATCCTCCTGCATACCCTTCCCAGCATGTGCCACCATGCCTGGCCTTCCTCCTTTAAGTCGACTATCTGAGGTACTGATGGTGCATACCTTACTCATGAAATCCATACAATACAGTCCTGGCCTTCTGGCCTGTCCTTGGAAATCTGCCACGCCTGGAGTTTTTTGTTTGATACTAGTAGGGCTTGAGCCCAGCCTTATGTATCGGAAGTGCCCTACCACTGAGCTACGTCTTCAGCCTGTCGCTTGCAGATGGAAAGCTGACTAATACACAAAGCAGGCTCAGATGGAGATCTGAACTTCTGTTTGCACAGTTAGGTATACCAGGTGCCTTGAAAAATGCCCGACCCGTGCTCCACAGCTCTAGGTAAGTCAACAGGTGACACATTTCAGGAAGCAGAACTGCTAACACATTAACATTCTGGAGCAGTGAGGATGAACCTTTTAGAACTTTCAGTGTGTGTTGGTTTGGGAGATATTGCAAGGGAACGATATGACACAGGACACATATTTTATAAGATTATTTATAATAGTCACCCAAAGAATCACATACAAGAGAGTGCAGGAAATCTGTCCACACACTAAGACCAAGGAATCTAGCTGAGGACCTGGATCCCACGGAATTGTCCTGCATGACTCCAGCGGGAAGACCTAGAGCCTATAACAATGCCTCCCACAAGTCCAACTGGAGGCCTAGATCCCATAACAGTATCTCATGCAGGCCTGTTTCACAGATCTGTACTGGGAAGGCCCAAAGGTCAGTGGTGGAATCTAGGGAGTCTATGCCAGCGGGATGAAGGATCTGTGCTAGTAGGCTGAGGAATCTACACTGGAGCCAAGAAGTGACATGCAAAGTAAGAACTAGAGCTCCCCTGAAAGATACCACAGCCATCCTCAGCAACAGTGAGGTCCCAAGCTCCTCCAGGGGTGAAGATAGCTGAGTTCTCGTCAGGAAAGCCAATGCAGCAAGCCTCTCTAGGAGACCGGCAGTGCACCATCTTCCCCTCTGGAGCCAGGAAGCGATGCTCAAAGTGAGGACCAGAGCTCTCCCAAAGTGAACCAAAGCCATTCTCAGTGCCAACAAGGTCCCGAGCTCCTCGGAAGATGAAAACAGCCAAGTTCATCAGGAAAGCCAGCATGACAAGCTCCTCCAACAGAACCAACAGCTCCTTACAGCTTCTACCAGCTCCCAACAGCCTTCCTTCTTCTCCAGTTCTGCCTCTTCTGCTGCCGGCAACAGTCCTCTGGGGGGCCTCCCACACCCAGCACAATGCTTACTCAGTTCAGCTGGGGGTTATAAATTGACCACCAACTGTCAGTCCACCACACAATGATACAAACAGCCCGCCATGGCATGCGTGCCATAGGTTCGCCACCACTGATCTAGAGATACTCAGTGTCTCCCACAAAAAAGGCACCAGGGACTTCATCCTGAGAACCCTCACTGTGAACAATGGAGTGTCCTTCAGTTGTCACAAGATGGCCACAGGAGGGAACCCCTGACACCTAGATCCTGGAACTAGTAGCCAAAGCAGCATGCAGTCCACACCTTACTGGCCTGTCGGACCAAAGTTCTGCTCGCCTCTACCCCTATCCACCTGGGTCACGCGGCAATGAGGTGCTCCTGCAGCTACACCTCACATAGTGAGGGGTCACGACCCTGGGCCAGAGGGTGCAGATCAGAGTCCTGACCCAAGACCAAATCTTGGCTTAGCCCCTTAGGAAGCCCAAGTAGGTCTCCTTGAGGTGTGGACCTCCGGTGGGGGCTGAGGGGAGAGCCGTGACGGTGGCCCGGCCATCCCCACGCTCCTCCTCCCAGCTCTAGAAAGCACGTCGTACCCCAGGGCAGGGAATCTGGCTGAGCCTTTGGGTAATGCTGACATCAGGCCCGTCAGAGGGCAACCTGGGGAAACGGAGGGGCACAGCCTCCAGCTCACACCCAGTGAACACGACAGCCACTTCCCCTGACACCTGCTGGGTGTCACAGACCCAGGGGTCACAGGCAGGCAGCCCCTCCAGCTGACTGGCTCCTTGATTCGATCAGGACAATTCTTTGGATAGAAAAATGCCCTGGAAACAGCACAGACTCACGTATGTTCACTAGTAGCCAGTGTTTGCCTCACACCTGTAATGAGGATCATTCAGAGTTCTGTCTCCAGCCTGCACCAGGCTACAGGGCCGCCTTTGCCTCGGCCACTTTCCTCAGCCTGCAGGCTTGCTTTGTCCTGGCAGAGCAGGGCACGCTAAGCCAGTGGTGCTGTCTGTATGCCCGAGGCTCGAAGCCCTTCCACCATCTTGGTGATCACTGCAGAGCGCAAGGGTCTTGGGAAGTCGGAAGTCCAAACTCCGTGTTCATCGATAAACACTGCGGCTCAGAGAGTCTGAAAACTTGACACAGAGGCCAGATCCCCACCATACGGCCAGCCCCCCCGGCCCCCCGGCCTAGGCCATTCAGCAGCGGCTCTTCCGCCCCCTGGAAACAGGCACTGGCACTGAGACGGCCTGTGGCGACCCAGCAATACCAGACAGTCTAGGGAAGACGGTACCAAAATAACGTCCCATGTCTCTCTCCAGACCTTGTGTTTATAAAGCAGAATGCTTATCAGAAAGATGATAAACACATCCCATTGGGTGATGGAGAGACCAGCTTTGCAGGACTAGCCATGTGGTTTCAAAGCAGAAATGACATTACAGCGCATGGAAGACTTTGGTGTCGGGTGCAGCGTCCCAGCCGGCCAGGTTCGCACACATGGTAATGTGACAGTCCTGAGCCGAGGGAACTCCAGCTAATGAAAGACAAGGATAGCTTCAAAGCCAGGCATGGTGGTGCACACTGTAATCCTGGTACTCGGGAATTCATAGCCAGCCTGGACTATATAGTGAGACCCTGTCCCAACAAACCAAAACCAAAAAGAAATAAAGTGCCACTGCTAGTTTGCAGATAGGGGACAGTACTAGCCACTATTTATCAAACGTTTACTCCATAACAGCAATGCGCTCAGAGGTTTTTACACATGGACCTGTTCACAAAACCCCTTTGAGAGTGGATTCTATTCATTCTGAATTTATCAATGAAGAAACAAGCTCAACAGGGGTTTTTGCCAAGGCTACGTGGTTAATGAGCGGGTTCCTGAACTCTGCACCAGTGTGCTTCACCACGGTGCCAGCAGATCTCAAAGTGAGCTCCCAGAGCGGCAGCTACCAAAGCATCACCACTGGGGAACCTGTGGAAAATGCACGTCCCCAGGCCACCCCGGACAGACGAAATCAGGAATTCTGGGAACTGACCCAGGGCCCGTGGCTCAGCAAGCTGCCTGGCGATGCGGATGCCGGCTCAAGTTTGCAAAGCGTTGCCCTAAGCTCCAGTCCCTCAAACCCTAGGTTAGTTCCACAGAGCTACGTGTCCATGTTTTCTTTGTTTAGCTGTCGTGAGCTTAGGGCTAAGGCAGAAGGATGGCTCCAAGCCCAGGGCTACATTGTGAGTTCAAGGTCAGCCTGAGCTACACAGTGAGACCCTGTCTCAAAAACAAACACCAATCTGCTCTAAGGAAACCTCAAGGGAAACCCAGGGCACCCAGAGTCCCTGGGCCCCGCAGGTGAAGTGGGTGAGAGACAGCCCCCGTCTCCCCCAGCACAGACAGGGACTGAGGGCCAGGAGGCGGGCCGGGTCCGAGTGGCTTCCTTCCTGCCTCAGCCGGCTCCCACACAGTAGCAAACCCACACAGGTCGCCCCTCGGGGCAGCGGCCGTCCACAGCCCGAGTACCTCGGCATCGTACTTTTCGTTGACGGCAGGCTCAGTCGTGACCAGCTTCATCCTGCTGGCAAAGCGTAGCGAGGACAGCTGGAAAACAAACCGGATGTCAGGGGCCTCCCCACTGGAGCGAGGCCCCAAGAGACAGACACCCCGCCCGTCCTTCCTAAGCTTCAGCCTGCCTGTCAAACACGTGGCTTCGTGGGTTCAGTCCCCAGCACCAAAAGCTAAACATTAATGAAAAATAGAAATGGGGTCTTGGCCGTGAGATCCTCAGGCAGGGAGGCAGAACGCTGGCAGAGGGCACAGGCTGGTCCTCCACGGCACGCAGTGAGGGTCTGCACGGGCTGTTTCTGCATCCAAGCCGGAGCCTCTCCGCTTCCGGGCCTGTGGTCCAGGCGCCCCTTCCCTCCCCGCTGCCCCATCTGCCTCCTTGCTTCCCACCTTCTCCGCGGCCCAGCTGCACAGCTTCCAGCCGAAGCCCTCTGGTTCCCTCCACGTGAGACGTCTCTGGCCCTTCCACAAAGCACAGTGCGCCCCTTCAGGAGGGTGGCCCTGCCCTCCTTTAGGAATTCCCTACTTCATGGGCTGGGGATTTAGCTCAGCGGCATAGAGCCTGCCTGGCAAGCGCAAGGTCGTGAGTTCAATTCCCAGTACCGGAAAAAAAAAAAAGGAATTTCCTACTTCTTTGGGTCTGGATCAGCGATGTCCAATAGAAATGTAATGCAAACCACAAATGCAAGTCACATATGTAATGTATATACACATATATATGTACACATACAGGTACATATGTGTGTGCATGTGGTACTAGGGATTGAACCCAGACCCTCCCATAAGCTAGGCAAGCACTCTGCCACCAAACTGCATCTCTACCTTTTAAAACATTTTTATTTTGAGACAGGGTCTCTCTAAATTGTCTGTGCTGGCCCAAACTTGGAGTTCCTCCTGCCTCAGCCTCCTGAGTAGCTTCATATATGCAAGTTTAAAGTTCTATTTTTTCCTTCCTTCCTTCCTTTTTTTTTTTTTTTTTTTTCAGTTCTGGGAATTAAATCCAGGGGGATTCTACCACTGAGCTGCAATCTCAGCCCTTTTCTGAGACAGAGTCTTGCTAAATTGCTCAGACTGACCTCAAATGTCCAATGCTCCTGCCTCAGCCTCCTGAGTAGCTGGGATTATAGGTATGTACCATCATATCCAGCCTCTTTCTTTTCTCTCTTTTCTTTTTTCCTTGTTTCTTTCCTCCTTCCTTCTCTCCTTTCTTCCTTCCCTCCTTCCCTTCTTTCCTTTCTTCCTTTCTTTTCTGTTGCCCAAGCTGATCTGAAACTCATGGATTCATGTGATCTTCCTGCCTCAGCCTCCTGAATGCTTGGATTATAGGCACATGCCACCATGCCTGGCTTTAGTTTAAATTTTCTAATAGCTATATTAGAATAGATAAAAAGAAGCAAGTAAAAATAATCTTAATATATCTTATTTAAACATTAATCCAATACTGTACACCCAAAATATTATTTTAACATGTGATCAACATTCTAAAAATATTGCGAATCCTCTTTTTCTTATAGTTGATCTTTTTTTTTTTTTTTTTTTTTCGTTTTTCTCCGGTACCAGGAACCGAACTCACGACCTTGCGCTTGCCAGGCAGGCGCTTTTGCCGCTGAGCTAAATCCCCAGCCCCTTATAGTTGATCTTTGAAATCTTTTTTTTGTTTGTTTGTTTTGGTTTTGAGACAAGGTCTTGCTATGTAGCCCAGGCTGGCCTTCAACTCACAATGATCCTCCTGCCTCAGCCTCCTGAGTGCTGGGATTACAGCTATGTGGTACCACGCCTGACTTGAAATCTGGTATTTTAAACTTATATCTCAATTTGGCCCAACCACATGTACTATATGTGCAGACTCCTGCAATCCTAGTACTCTGGGAGACTGAGGCAGGAACGTAACAAGTTGGAACCTAGCTCAGGCAGCTTAGTAAGACCCTGTGTCAAAATAAAAAAGGGCTGGGGGTGTAGCTCAGTGTGAAGACCCTGGGTTCCATCCCCAGTACTGGGAAAGAAACAATCCACGCAAATGTTTCCCTGCTGGCTGCCCTGTGTACACCCAGAAGCTGGGTAGGGCACACGGCTGCTTGGGAGCCTCCAGCCCCAGGGGCTGGGAGTGCTGATCTGGGGACAAATCCTGGACTTGGCCTGAGCCGCTGTCCATGGAGCTGGGTCAGTCACCACAAAGGGTCAGTCACCACAAGCCCTGCTAGGCCTGTCCTCTGTGCACACTCCCCTGAGGGACCCCACGCAGCGGGGCCAGGCCAGGTGGGAACTGCTCCTGCTCTCCTAATTTCTTTCAGCAGAGCAGGCCTCATCTGGCCTCACATCAGACTCAACAGGTGAACAAGTGCCAGGCTGCATGACGGTCAGGTGGGGGACTGAGACGAACGTGTAGAGCACCCCGAGAAGGGGCCCAGCGAGTGTTGCTGCTGGGACCGGGGGGAGGGGGGCCTCGAGTCCTGGTGCATCCTGGTTTCTCCCATGTGGCCAGCGAGGGACAGGGCGTGGTCAGTGTCAGACGGGAGTCAGCGGCGGCCACGGAAGCAGGACAGCCAGCTTTTGCCGCCCAGAGGCGGGCACAGATCAGCTCCGCGCAGTCTGGCTGTGTGCCGTGCTGGCTGGCCTCCAGCTCCGGACAGTCCCTTGCTAGTAGAGGTATCTGCAGGACAGGTAGGAAAGGTGGATCCCTGCATGGAGACATGCTCCAGAATGGACTGTGGGGTCTGTAAGCCCACGAGGTGACATCCAGAGGGTCCCCCCCATCGAGTCACTCTGGAGGGGCAGCCAGCCAGGGACGATTACGGCTGAAGGCCCAGAATGGGCAGGTGTTTGGGAGATTTCCAGACACCTCGCACCCTGCACAGATGTTATTGAGGGCAGAGCCTCTTCGGGGTGCTCACTGTCAGCGAAGGGGTGTGAGGGAGGAAGCAGGCTTGGAAGTGGGAGGGGCCCCTCCTGTGACCCTGAGGAAGGAAGAAGAGGGCCTTTCTGTGCCAGTCTGGCCTGGTGGCTAAGAAGTGCCGCTGACCACTGGGGTGACCTTGCACAGACCTCACACTTAGGTGAAAGGAGACCTGTTGGGTGTGGTGGGCACACACATGCAATCCCAGCACTTGTAATCCCAGAGGCTGAGGCAGGAGGATCCCCACAAGTTTGAGGCCAGCTCGGGCTACATAGTGAGTCCAAGACTAGGCTAAGCTACATAGCAAGACCCTGTCTCAATACATAAATAAAATAAAATAAAATAAAGGTTGTTTTGGTGGTCTTTTTGAGACAGGGTTTCACTATGCAGTTCAGGCTGGACTTGAGCTCACTTTATAGCCCAGGCTGGGCTCAAACTTGCAAAGATCCTCCTGCCTCAGCCTCCTGACTGCTAAAAGTACAGATTAAAAAAAAATGAAACATAAATGGAAGAAAGGAAGAGAGAAAGAGAGCGAGACAGAGAGAAAGAAAGAAAGAAAGAAAGAAAGAAAGAAAGAAAGAAAGAAAGAAAGAAAGAAAGAAAGAAAGAAAAGGTCTCTGCCATTACAGGTGGTTTCCTCTATGATGGGCCACCACAAAGTCTTCTGCTCCACACCATCGCTGTAGTTATTGAGACACACACACACAGGCAGGGTCACTCCAGTGTCACACAGCCCATGACAGAAACATGATCAAAGTTTTAAGCCATTTGCAGAAGAGAATCATCTGCTCCCACACCCTCAGGTACCTCTGTCCCAAACCCCTACATGCACAGCTCTAGGCCTGTGGGTCCAGTGGTCCTGGGCAGCGTCCCCGAGCAGTGTGGGCACAAGCCCCTGGGCACTGGAAGTACCAGGAGACTTACTTCCCATGCTGTGCCTTCTTGGGGGGGTGGGGATAAGGGGAGCCAGTGGGCTTCTACTGTCTTGGAGGGCAACTCTTTTGGGTTGGGTGAGACAGGGTTTCAATATGTAGCCCAGGCTGGCCTTGAACTTGCAGTGATCCTCCTGCCTCAGCCTTGCCAGTGCTGAGATGACAGGTGGAGCCACCATACAGGCTTCTCTCTTGTATCATCCTAACTCATCTCTGCCACCTTGCTCCCCCTCTGCCACTGGGCACAGCTGGCGCAGAGCTACATCTATCTGCTCAGACCAGCCTTACTCACAGCCAAAGGTGTGATTTTTTTTCTTCAGTGCTGGGAATTGAACGCAGAGCCTTGCACATGCTGGGCGAGGGCTTTACCACCAACCTACGTCCCCAGCCCAAATACATGTGATTATAAAGATCAAAAGGTCGACGGTCCTCGGGTCCAGCTCCTAGACACAGCTCCCAGGAGGGGCACTCCTTGCCCCAAGCTGGCGGTCTGCATGCCCTGCTAGTCCCTCCCACCCAGCCTGCCTCTTCCTTCCTCAGCACTGCTCAGGGCTTGCTGTCGGGGCCTGGCTTGAACCCCTCGGAAACTGTGGCTCCAGCACGTCCCTGGCCCTTGGCACTGTGCCAGCCCCCAGGAGGGGTTCTGGTCCGGCTGGACTGGCCGTTGCTACGCACCGTCTCCTCCAGCTGGGCGGCTTCTCCATAGATGTTAGTCACGAGGACCATGTTGCAGTTTCCCCCTGCAAAAGCAAGACCCGACGTGAGTCGTACGGGGCCCCATGCTGGGGCCTGAATGCCTACAGCCAGCTGCCAGCGCTGTGCCCCAAAGTGCCACCTCCAAAGGCTCCTTGGAGGTCAGGAGGGAGAGGCCCTGAGGATGGAGACTCTGTCCTTCCAAGAAAGCAGACAGGGTCTTCTTGCTCTCTCTGAGGCACAGCCGGAGGCAGCCCTTGACCGGCCACCCCGTCTACGCTGCTCCGCTTGAGCAGCTCAAGCTGACAAAAGTCAGAGCCAAGAGACCACAGCTGCAGCCCGCAGGAGTGTGGAGCAAGGGAGAGAGATGGAGGCGCAGAAGCCACCCGACGTCCCTAAAAGCAGAGCCGGGGAGAACAGCAGAGGAGGACGGTGCAGGGTGCGGTGTGGAAAGGCCAGAAAACGGTGTGAGCCAGGGCTTTGCTCTTGGTGTCCCTCAGTCACTCAACTAACAGCCAGAAACCAGCCACCGTCAACAAGCCTGACACAAATGCTTGGGGACATGGGATAAGACGAAGCCCCTACTGCTCTGTGCCAAGGCTAAAAGGGGAAGTATAAGGGTGCTGAGCTTGGTGGTGCACGCCTGTAATCCCACCACTCAGGAGGGTGAGGCAGGAGGATCACTGCAAAGTTTGAGCCCAGCCTGGACTACATAATGAGTTCAAGGCCAGCCTGAACTACATAGAAAGACCATGTCTCAACAATATATAAATGGCCAGGCATGGTGGCGAGCGCCTGTAATCCTAGCACTCAGGAGGCTGAGGCAGGAGGATCACTGTGAGTTCGAGGCCAGCCTGGGCTACAAAGTGAGCTCAAGGCCAGCCTGCACTGCATAGTGAGACCCTGTCTCAAAAAGACCAAAAAAATAAAAATAAGTTAATTAATGCATAAATAAATAAATAAGGAAGGGACAACACGATGTGAGAGTCTGCCCTGTCAATGGTCTTCTAGGCCGCGAAGGATCCAGCAGGCTGGTGGAGGGATGGAGGGGTGAGAGCAGAAGCAAAGGCTCTGAGTGAACAGAATGGTGGGTCCTGGCTGCACGAAGGGCACCCCCGCAGAAGTCACTGGGCAGGGCTGTGAGTCTGTGCATGCTCAAGGGAGGGAGCAACTCTGGCCGCCTGCCCAGGCCAGGCCTGGCCTCCCCACACCTAGCCCCCTCCCAGGCACCAGCCGCGCGCTCACCCAGCGAGTCCTTCAGGGCGTGGGTGAGTTTGCACTGGCGGAAAGGGATGTGGTCCCGCTTCTGGTCCCCGAGGGCGATGATGGCCTGCTCCAGGAAGGACAGTGACTTGTTGATGTAGGTGGCTTCCTTCAGGACACGGCCCTCGGACTGCAAATCAAAGGCAGTTCCACCTGGGGCGAGTAGGGCTGCCCCATTAGGAGTGGCTGCCCTCCTGATGTGGGTGATACTACCCAGAACCCGGGTCTTCCCGCAAGTCCTGGGATCCTGTTCCATCTTCGGTTAATAATAGTAACACCAAGCCAGTTGTGGTGGCGCACGCCTGTGATCCCAGCACTTAGGAGGCTGAGGCAGGAAAACTGCCACGAGTTCCAGGCCGGCCTGGGCTCCACAGTGAGTTCAAGCCGGTCTGAACTGCAGAGTGAGACCCAGTCTCAAAAAACAAAATAATGGTAACACTAAAACTCATAGGAGCACTTGTGTGAACACTTGTGTGAATGCTCATGTGACTACAACATTCACAGCAAACGTCAAAGATTCACACTAATAGGTGTGAGAACACTTGCACAGAAAGTTGAGCAGGCAACCCTGTGCACGTGTACACACACACACCCATGCTCACTTGAGTCCCCTGTGGACACCTGGGCTAATGCACACTTACACAAATACTCATTGGAAAGGAAATCCTCACGCAAATCCTCATATTCATGGATAGAGAAATGCTACGCAGCTTGGAGTATTTACTGAGCACTTACTGAGTCCCAGGCACCCTGCTAAGAGTTTAAGAGGCCTCGTGTCATTTTATGTTTAGAAAAATGCCCAGGAGTGGGAAGTGTTGAACCCCGACCCCAACCCTGACCCCCACCCCACACCCCGCCCCTCACTGCCGTCCCTCCACTGTCTCTGTCCTCGGAGGGCTGTGCTCTCCCCTGCCTGATGAGGGGCGGCCACAGGTACTGCACCCCGCCGAGGAGAACCTGTGCCCACCTCACTCACCCCAGACTTCCCCACCCTCTCCGAGCCGGCCAGGTCCACCAAGTTAATTTTGGAAGTGATGTACTTTTCATCCGATAAGGTCCGGGAATGGGCCTACAAAACAGCATGGGGCCACGGTCACAGAGGGGCTCAGACTGGGGGAGCCCCTCAGAATCGCGCCCCCCTCCACCCACCTCTACGTAGATGGTGAAGATACAGTGCGACCTGGACGAGTTTTTGTTCAGGGTGTGGGCGGCTATGATCCTGTTGGTTTCTCCCTAAAGAAGAAGAAGGGAAATGTAGGCAACATTTTGAAAAATTCAAATCACAAGGCATTTGGATCCTATTTCATTTGTTCATTCATTGAATTTTAATTAATTAATTTATTTATTTCTGAGGTATTGGGTCGTGAGTTCGGTTCCCGGTACCGGAGAACCCAGGGGCCTTAGCACCGAGCTACATCCCCCAGCATTTCCTTAGTTTTTATTTTGAGACAGGGTCGTGTTAAGTTGCCCAGCCTGGGCTCAGCCTCCCAGGTTGTTGGGCTTACAGGGTTGTGCCACCACACCTAGCTGACCTGGAACTTTTGATCCTCCTTCCTCAACCTCCTGAGTAGAGATTACAGAAATGTTCCACCGCACCCAAGTATAATATTGTGTTTACAATACTCAGACAGTTGAGCTACTGCCAGCATTATCAACTGTCCCATAATGGACAAGTTACCTATTTTTCAAAAAATAGAAGGCTTATGGTTTCGTTTGTTTTCATTTTATAAAATAACATTTTAATTCTTCTTCTTAAAACTATGAAGACTATACACAATTTAGAAATGAGACTGTACCAAACCATGGAGGAAGAATTGTCTGTTCATTCCTTTTCTTTTGTCTGGTCACTCAGAGAGATAATCTTGTCAGCTATGATGGTTGTCACTGGTCACCTCCCTTATTTTTATCCCTGTATTCACCATAGTCCACTTTTCCTTCCACGAAAATTTGACTCTTTTTTTTTTCCCAGTACCAGGAATCGAACTCACGACCTCGTGCTGGCCAGGCAGGCACTGTGCCACTGAGCTAAATCCCCAGCCCTTTTTTCTTTTTTTTTCTAAAACCTGGGTGAAACACTGATATTCGGTGCCATTTCTTTTTTTTTTTTGTCTTTTTGAGACAGGCTCTCACTATGTAGTTCAGGTTGGCCTTGAGCTCACTTTGTAGCCCAGGCTGGCCTCAAACTCAGCAACTCAGCCTCCTGCCTCAGCCTCCCGAGTACTGGGATTGCAGGTATGTGCTACCACGCCCGGCCCATGTTGTCTTTTGACTGACATCACCCATTTGGTATGCTTCATTGCCCCCAGATCGCCACTTCTCATTTGCTGCTAGAGAAAATACGGTGACTGGATTTTTCCCTTCCACCTGCCTCATGACAGGGTCCTGACTTACTTGCCCAAGCAGCTGCGCACGATTCAGTGATCTTTCAAGAACTAAACTGCTGGCTACTTCAGACTCATGTCTTACAAACTGATGAAGCACCTGTAACACAGGTCTTTGAAAAAGCACGGCTCCTGTTTTCTTTGTTTACAATCTAATCTTTGGGTTCTTCCTTCTCCCGACAGACGCAGGTCCGTACTCAGACCCCACACACTGCTTGCGCGGTTCTTTTTCCCTCTTTCACCTGACGCACCAGGCCATATCACCAGGCTTATGTTTACATTAAAATTTTATTTAATTTTTTTTGAGACAGGGTCTCATTACGTAGTTCAAGGGCTGGCCTCGAACATATAGCCATCTTCCTGCCTCAGCCTTCTGAATGCAAGAATTCATAACTTTTAAATAACTTTAATTATAGTACATTATTACGGTCATTCTATTTTTTTATTAGTTACTGTTGTTAACCAGTTACTCTACTTGATATAGCCAACATTATCACAGGTATATGTATATAGGAAAAAGCCTAGCGTGTGCAGTTCAATGGTACCTGTTGTTTCAGGCATGTGCTAGGTGATAAGTCACAAGGCAACTCACCACCCCCACCCCCACAGGAGATTTAAGCTCTTTTATTAAGGAGTTAATAAAAACTCCTGCCTCTTCACCTGTTCCCCTCCAGTTCCCCGCAACAAAAGCCACCTTGCCCTCATCCACCTTGGAAAAACCAGACGTTCAACTCTTACAAACGACACCCCCACCTGCTCGGGCTGTTCTGACCCACAAACATCCCCTGCTCAGGCTGTTCTGGCCCATGGACACCCCCTCCCAAAAAATGTTCTGGCCCACAGATACCCTCCCCAAAAGTTAGCTTCAAAACCCCATGCTTTGCTCAGCTCGGGGCTGTCCTAGTCCGCTGGGCAGCCCACCATGTCGTTCCCCCCAATAAAGACTCCTCTCGTGTCAGAAGGTCTGGTCTGCTTCTGTGTGGGTCTCAGCCCCATCATATCACTAGGGTTATTGGAACATAGGCCCTCTGGATAAGTGGGGCCCACTGTATTTTTATAATGTAGGGAAAAGAAATAATTTGTTTGTTTTTTTTTTTGAGACAAGGTCTTACTATGCAGTTCAAGCTGGCCTTGAACTCACTATGTAGCCCAGGCTGGCCTCAAACTTGTGGCAATCCTCCTGCCTCGACCACCTGAGTGCTGGGATTACAGGCCTGCGCCACCACACCCAGCTCAATAATATATTTTTAAAGGTGCAGCAGATCTTCATCTTTAATTCAAAGGCTGGGCTCTATAACCAGAATACATTTAAAAGTGAATGTGGTAGAAATGACTGCTTGTGGGGAAACCAGTCCTTGTGAGGTAGACTCCTGTCTCCTAAAAGGCCCCAAGGGATGCGAGGAACAAGCCCCAGAGCAGGGCTGTCTGTCCCGGGAGAGAGGGGCTCCCCTGCGAGGAATTGGGTCCCCATGGCTACGTCTCCAGCGCTGTTGTCTACCTCTTACACACATCCAGTGACGCTCTGCACAAGGATGAGGATTCACTTCATCTTTATTCTTGTTTGTTTTGTTTCTGTTTTTTTGAGACAACGTCTCACTATGTGGTTCAGGCTGGCCTTGAATCACTCACT